CGGTAGGCAATTGGCAGGAGGCGGTCTCTCAGGGAGCCAGGTCCGATGCCATGTAGGGATTTAAAAGTAACAACTAGCACTTTGAAGCGTGTTCGGAGACCAATAGGAAGCCAGTGCAGCTCGCGGAGGATAGGTGTAACGGGGGAGAACCTAGGTGCACCCACAATCGCTCGCGTGGCTGCATTCTGGACTAACTGAAGTCTTTGAACACTCTTCAAGGGCAGCCCCATGTAGAGTGCATTACCTAAAGTAGGTAAGTAAGATAAAGTAAGGTAAAATCGTATATACCCGTGATGGCGAACCTATGGCACACGTGCCCGAAATGGCATGCGGAGCCATGTCACATTGGAACCTGTGGCGCCACCTGTTCCTCTTTCAGGTTTCTGGGGCATATGCATGCGCGATGATCAGCTGGCCTTCATGCGTGCGCCGGTGCCGGAAACTGGAAGAGCTAATCTTCCATTTTTTCAGCGTGAGCATGCAGACTGACAGCTGATTGTCATGCGTGCATGCGCGCCAGTAACTAGAAGACTAGCTGAGTGCGCCGGAAATCAGAAGTTCATTTTCCGGTCTGCGCATGCCCCCTGGGCAGCTCTTCCTCCTGGTCGCAGCCCAGATGAGCGAGGGCACTCCCTTTTCGGCACTCGGTGCCAAAAAGCTTTGCCAACACTGGTTTATACCGTATGAATGCTGGGAGGCATTTAACTGAAAGAGATGCTGCGGTCAGGTACAGACCTTGGTAACTCTCAACAGGGCCAGCTCCCAGTTGAATTTTTCTTCAAAACCCCAGAGTACCCAATGGTGATTATTGCAAAGCAGAAGAGAAATTCTGAAAAGAAGAGGGCTAAAAATTCAACCACATACTTAGAGGTGGGCCAGTTGCTCTACAATATCAGCTTGAGCAATCTTGCTGCTGAGGGGAGTCATATTTTCAGAATTATTTTTTATAATGGGGAGAAAGTGTATCAACGTGACTTAAAGAAGATGACGAGTGATTGATTCTATGCTCTGTCACTCACATTCAGTCGAAGGTATTCTGCCCACTGGCCAATGGCCTTGTATCCTGGGACCGTAGTATTTGTCAGCTGATACTGGAAAATATCATAGCGCCCAGGAGCATCTCCATTTTCGTTGAACATGACTGGTGTTCCGGCACTGCCTGCAGGAAGGAAAAGGTTACAGGGAGATATGGACGTCCTTCAAGATGAAGATGTTCTAAAAGAGGAGGAGACAACTTTGTGCTGAGGGACACTGGCTGATAGCGGGAAGAAGAGTTGTAAGGAGCCTCCAAGGTCAGATGTGATAGGCAATCTACTTAGGTGGGGGAGTGTCTCAGAGGTGTTCGGTTCGCTGTTGTGAAAACGTAGGTTTGCTATTGTGATGTGGGACACAAGAGATTTAGGGTCTAAGCCTGTGAAACTTTTTAAGGGTTGTTCCCTACTGCAAGCATTGATAGATAACAGAAAACCACAGATGAGTTTTCTCTATCTCTCTAGAACAGTGTTTCTCAACCTTGGCAATTTGAAGATGTCCGGACTTCAACTCCCAGAATTCCCCAGCCAGCATTCGCTGGCTGAGGAATTCTGGGAGTTGAAGTCCAGACATCTTCAAGTTTCCAAGGTTGAGAAACACTGCTTTAGAAGATGGACACATCCTATATTGGCAAGAATAGGACATGTCTAGCCAGTGGTGAGATTCATTTTTTTTTTACTACCGGTTCTGTGGGCGTGGCTTGGTGTGTGTGGCAGG